TGTTTTTTTTTAATACTTGGTATTTTAAAATGTGTGTAAAACATTGCAGTATTTTTTCTATTGATAGCATATTGAAATTAACATCATTTGACTGCTTTTTACCTTTTTAATGCGTGTATTAGAAATTTTAAACTTACATATGTGGCTTACATTTTATTCTATTGGGTAGCACTGCTTTATGCCCTTTCTAAGTGGTATAATTCTGGAGTCCTGCTGTGGCATTATAGGATAAACAGTGGACTGCTAACGGCAACTAAGCACAAATTTGGCAGCTCAAATTCACCATTCGCTCCTCAGGAACCCTGTACAGGGGCTGCTTCAAGTTAGATTTGACTCAGTGGTACTTAATGACAGAAAGTGACGGTTAATGTTTACTGTCTTGTTTTTGTTTTCTGTGTTTTTCAAACTGAAAATAGGAGAAATAGAATTACATTGTGTCTTTGAGAAAATAATATATAGATCATGGATTTTAGAGTCAGGTAAGCATGTGTTCTAGCTATTCCACTTGGACAGTTAGCCTTCTTTGAGCTTCAACTTCCTCATCTGTAAAATGCAATAGTAATTGTTCCAGCTTCACTAGTTTGTCAGGAGTAAGAAACACATGAGGAATTAACAAGAATAGCTTAACAAACTGACAGAGAAAAATGGACTGATATTCTGTATTTTTCTAGGTTCTATCTCAATGCGAGTCTTGGTGTGGCTCTGTAGGATAAAACACTAGATTGGATGGTTCGTTTGAACTGCAAGGTTGGCAGTTCAAACTCAGCAGCCACTCCTTGGAAACTGTATACTGGGTCGCTGTGAGTTGGAAAAGACTTGACGGCACTTAACAGCAACATCTCAGTGCCTGACAAATGCAGTTTTTCTTTAGTTCCTGTCCATTTCTAAAGAGAGGCCTTTCTTCCCTTGTTCTATTAGTTTGTTATCCGCTATCCTATCTACTTCTACTCTCAGCCTGGTGGGGTTTCTTTTTTTCCCCATATCACTGAAGCACCTCTGGCCAGTGTCCCCATTTCTGCTGTGTTTTGTCTGACTGAGCTACCTCCCACTTATTTTTCTTAGCTCTTTTAAATCTCTCAGGAAAAATTATTTCCTAGCTAAAACTACAAAACACTCTTCAGCTCTTTATATTTGTACCTGTGCCCTGCCTTCTACCAGGATCCTGGGGCTTGCTTTTCACTGAACACCACGTCTTTTGATGAAATCATCAGCTAAGGACAAATGATGGTGGGCAAAGCCATGAAGTTAACAGAGAACAACCACCACAAACTCCAACCTGCTGTCACCAATTGAGACTCATGGCAACCTTATGTGTTCCAGAGTCAAACTGCTCCACAATATGTGTGTGTGTATGTTGTTGTTGTTATGTGCCATTCAGTCAGTTCCGACCCATAGTGACCCTGAACAGGGTTTCCAAGGCTGTAAAGGAGCATAAAGCCTCATCTTTATCCCACGGAGCAGCTGGTAGTTTCGAACTGCTGACCTTGTGGTTCACA